AGTGTTCTCTGAACTCCCCCAGTGAAAGGGAAACTCCCCTTCACAGCCTGCTAAGTACCGGGCGCTTCCCAGGCGCTGGTGCTACCGGGAAGCTCTCATTCTCGCCTTCTGATCACTTCTCACAGCGTCCCTTCAGTTCCTAACTATATTTCACCCGATTGTTTCTATAATACTAAAATGATTCTACGCTGTAATAGTAAAGCAAACATTAATAAAAAATAATGATTTAATAGGATTGATCATATAATTGATTATGTGATTGCTTCTGACTATACTTGGTATCATTGCTAAAACTAAGTCATCCGTTTAATTATAATACTAAGACAGCTCCTGCCTCAGTCTCTTGCCTTGGCACCTGGGTCACTTTCTGCCCACAGGTGGGGCTGGACCGTCATGCAGACCTGCTCCAACCTGCCCCTCTGGCTCCCGGGTTTGAGGCCCACAGTGTGCGCCTCTGGGGGATGTGATCATCTGCAGATCCAGAAAGTTCTCCAGGTAGCTAGGCCCAGCCTGTGGTGTGGCCGCAGGCCTGCGAAGCTTCAGACGGCCGCACACTCTCAGCTTGGTCTCCACTCCCCAGCCCAACTCCCGGCCTTGCCGTGCCAGGACCCCCAGCTCCCGCTTCCCCTGTGGCAGGAGGGCTCTGCGTCAGGTGAGGCAGGGTGCACTGCCTGTTTGGCAGGGGTCAGGGATCCTTCCCCCGAGCTGAGCTGGGGGAACCAGAGACCAATGGTTTTGAGGGGGTGGAACCCACAGAAGTCCTTCCCTTGGCTGTTCCCAACCATGACCGTTTCCCTGGGTGGAGCAGAGCCTGGTGGGACCTCCATACTGGCAGCAGGGGGCCAGGGCCTTCTCCATGTTGGTCATGACATGCAGAAAACAGGGTTTCTCCATGTTGGCCAGGCTGGTCTGGAGCTCCTGACCTCAGGTGATCTGCCAGCCTCCACCTCCCAAAGTGCTGGGATTACAGGTGACCCACTCACCTGGCGGCTCTGTCCCAAGTGCCCCTGTCGCCTCCCTTGTGCTCTCCTGCCCAGGACCTGAAGGCTGCCTGCCTGTCTGCTGACCACCCCACGTGGTCACCCCTCCCACTACAGTCTAAGGAAAAATTGGTTCAGGCTGGGCGGGCTCGGTGGCTCATGCCTGTAGTCCTCGCACTTTGGGAGGCCAAGGCAGGCAGGTACTTGAAGTCGGGAGTTCGAGACCAGCCTGGGCAACAGCGTGAGACCCCGTCTCTACCCAAAGCACAAAAAAATTAGCTGGGCGTGGTGATGTGCACCTGTGGTCCCGGTTGCTCAAGAGGCTGAGGTGGGAAGAGCACTTGAACCCGGGAGGCAGAGGCTGCAGTGGGCTGAGATCGCGCCACTGCACTCCAAGGACCCTGTCTCGAAAGAAAGAAAATAAGGAAGGCCGGGCGCGGCGGCTCACCTGAGGTCGGGAGTTCGAGACCAGCCTGGCCAACATGGAGAAAGCCCGTCTCTACTAAACTTACCGAACTAGCCGGGCGTGGGGGCGCGTCCCCGCAGTCCCGGCCCCTCCGGAGGCTGAGGCAGGAGAATCGCCTGAGCCCGGGAGGAGGCGGCTCGCCTTCGCCGACACCTTCGCGCCCCGACGCCGCCGCCCCGGGCCAGGAGCCGTTCCCCGCTCAGGAGCCGTTCCCCGCTCAGGCGCCAGGCGAGGCGGGCGGCAGATGCCCCCGGCCGGGAGGACCCTCGCGACTCCACCCATCGGCCCCGCCAGGCTCGGACGCAGCAACCGGCGGGGCCCAAGCGGGGGCGACCAGGGACTGCCCAGGGGCGCGGAGGGGCGAGGAGGGGCGAGGAGGGGCGCGCAGGGGCGAGGAGGGGCGAGGAGGGGCGAGGAGGGGCGAGGAGGGGCGCGGAGGGGCGCGCAGGGGCGAGGAGGGGCGCGGAGGGGCGCGCAGGGGCGAGGAGGGGCGCGCAGGGGCGAGGAGGGGCGAGGAGGGGCGCGGAGGGGCGCGGAGGGGCGCGGAGAGGCGAGGAGGGGCGAGGAGGGGCGAGGAGGGGCGCGGAGGGGCGCGCAGCCGACCCGGCCGGGGACCAACGCGCAGGCGTCCAGCATCGCCCCGCCCATCCCCTGCCCCGCCCCCGCTCCGCCCCGCCCCCAACAACGCCCCGCCCCCAACAACGCCCCGCCCCGCCCCGCCCCGCCCGGCCGCCGCGGCACGTGACCCGCGTGCTGCCGGGCGCGCCCAGCCGCCGCGCACGCGCAGACGCAGCGCCGAGCCCGCGCCATGGCGGCCGAGCGCCTCCCTAGCCGGCCCGCCTGTCTGCTCGTGGCCAGCGGCGCCGCCGAAGGTGAGGCCCGGCGGCCGGGGCCGGTGTCCGAAGAGGCCGCTGCCCGGGGCGGGATCCTCCGGGGCTGGAGGTCCGGGACGCGGTGGGCGCGCGTCACGTGGCGCCGGAACCCCAGGCCGCTGAGGGCGCCGGGCGGGGCCCGGGAACGGGGGCGCCGCGGGGGTGCGGTCGCGGGTTGGCGTGGACCTCCGCGCGGCGGCCGCGATGGAGCCCGGTCCCTGGCGCCGCGTCGCTCCTCCGAGCCCTGTCTACGCGGCGAGGCGGCCCGGGCGCGACGTTTCCAGCAGGGGAACCGCGTGTTCCCGAGGCCGCTGCGCCCCGAGAGGGGAGCCCCGGTGTGGGGAGGGGCATTCGGGAGTGGACCCCGCTCTGAGGTCGGGCGGCCGCGGGGACCCTGGTTTCTGAGCCACCGGGTCCTGGGGAAGGCGCCCTCGGGCCCCGCCCTGGGGAAGGGCATCAGGGCGATGCCGGCCTGGGGCGCTCGCGGGACGGAGCGCGGCGCGGGGTCTCGGGACAGCGGGGGAGGGATGAGCCGCGGAGCCCGAGGGTCCCTGGCCCTGTTCTGAGCCCTTCGCAGAGAGAAGCGACCAGCCTGAAGTCACCACGGAGACGTGGGGCCGGCTGGGGACCCAGGGGCCTCCCTCTTGAAGTCTGTAGCCCCTCAAGGGTGGGCAGGGGGACGGGGCTATGCGGTTGTGGGGGTGTGCTGGGCTCCGGGGGTCCTGAGTGATGCCCCCAGCTGCAGGTGGGAGGAGCCTTGGGTGGGGTTCAGTTCTGGGGGTGTGGGTTGGGGCTTATTTCCAGAGCAGGTAAGGGTGGGCGGGGGCGGGCAGGCCAGATGGGCTGTGCCCCAGGGAAGGCACGCGGAGGACAGGGGGTCTTAGGGCCAGCAGGCGCCGGGGCAGAACGTCAGGAGGAAGAGACAGGCGGGCAGGAGGTGGGGAGCTGAGCACGCGGCAGTCTTGCTGGGCGTTTTTTTTTCCTATGTATGTGGACGCTTTACAGTGAATGTGTTTTAATTTATATAAGAATGAAGATTAAAATGAAGTTGAAAGATTGGGACCCAGTATTAAACGTAGAAAGATGCAGCTCATGCCACTTTGGAATAAACGTATGTGCTTTCGGGCTGCCAGGGTGCGCAGGGCTGTGTCCTTCCCCTGGTCGGACAGCAGCCCCTAGGGCCTTCTGGATTGGGTGTGGTGTGTTGTTTTCTTATTTTAAGCTTTTTGTTTTGAGAGATGGGGTTTTCACATGTTGGCCAGGATGGTCTCGATCTCCTGACCACGTGATCCGCCGAACTCGGCCTCCCAAAGTGTTGGGGTTACAGGCCTGAGCCACCGCTCCCAGCCTTGGATTTCTTTTTTAAAAGTTCTTTGAGGAGCAAGAGGAGGCTGGGGAAAAGCTGGGGGGAGGGGCAGAATCCCAGAACCCTTGTGAGGAATGGGACCCTGAGTTTTCTCCCTGGAGGGGGTGAGGAGGGGTCAGAACACTTCTGCATACTCCATGGTGTCAGCGGGCCTCAGTCCCGGGTGGGGGTCAGTGAGGGGAGGAGCTGAACTCTGTGACCCTCGTACCCTGGTCTGTCTCCCAGAAAGGCCTCTTGTGGCTCCATTAGCACCGGGACGAGGCCGGGCTTTGGGAGTGGCATGGACAGTTGAGGTGGATTGCATCCTGTCCCTGCTTCTGGCTGGGGGCTGGAGGTGACCACGCCAGCCTGGGAAAGAGCTTGCCATGGGGGATGCAGGCCTCTGGGTCTGGCAGACCTGGGTGTGCCCCCCTGACTCACGTCTTCCCAGCTTCCTCCTCCTGGACATGCGTGGGTGGCTGGCCCTGCCTCAGGGCTTCCAGTAGTGGGCCCTTGGTGTAGGGGAGTGGGCTGCTGGGGTCAGGCGAGGCCATAGGGGTGGAGCAGGATGGAGCTTGGGGTGGCGTTGGGGGCAGTGCCCATGTCCTGCTGTGGGGCCACTCTGAATACCCTGGTGTCTGGGTGGCCCCCCGAGGTAAAGTCTGGGGTCAGGCGAGGCCATGGGGGTGTCTGGGTGGCCCCCTGAGGTGAGGTCTGGGGTCAGGCGAGGCCATGGGGGTGTCTGGATGGCCCCCCGAGGTGAGGTCTGGGGTCAGGTGAGGCCATGGAGGTGTCTGGGTGGCCCCCCGAGGTGAGGTCTGGGGTCAGGCGAGGCCATGGGGGTGTCTGGATGGCCCCCTGAGGTGAGGTCTGGGGTCAGGTGAGGCCATGGGGGTGTCTGGATGGCCCCCCGAGGTGAGGTCTGGGGTCAGGCAAGGCCATGGGGGTGTCTGGGTGGCCCCCTGAGGCGGGGTCTGGGGTCAGGTGAGGCCATGGAGGTGTCTGGGTGGCCCCTGAGGCAGGCGGGCTGGTCCTGTCGAGCCTGCACCCACTGGGACCCTTTGCAGGTGTGTCGGCCCAGTCCTTCCTCCACTGCTTCACGATGGCCAGCACCGCCTTCAACCTGCAGGTGGCCACCCCTGGGGTAAGTCCAGCCACTCCTTCCCCACTGGACACTTGGGGTCTGGCCCCACCTCTCTGGGGCAAGGTCAGGAGCATCGCTGCCTGGGAGACGTGGGGAGCCCCTGCAGTTGGCGGAGGGGTGAAGGGTCTGTAAACAAACCTTGGTGGCATCCTGAGTCTGGGTCCCCACTTCCTGGGCTCTGACCCCCCCGTGATGAGGCAGACCCTTTCGTTCCGGATCTGTGCTTCTGCGCATGTGTGAACAGGAGACCAAGGCGCAGCCCTGGTGCGAGGGACCTGCACAGATCTTACCGTGGGAGGAGTTCTCCACCCTCTGATCGTGGGGGCCGGGGGATGGCAGATGTAGATAAATCACGGCAAGGATGCGCTACGTATTCGCCATTGCAGGCTTTTATTTGTAAACAGTGTGGGCGTGTTTGCTGGGAAACAGACCACTGAGGCTGCTCCTGGGACGGGCTCCCCAGCCTGGGAGACCAGTGGAGGAGGCTGCGTGGTCGGTGCCCATCAGCATTTTCACACTCCCTCTGAGCCGACAGAGAGAACCCGGGTGCTGACCCTTGGCCCCTGGGCTCTGCTCCTCCAGGGGAAAGCCATGGACTTTGTTGATGTGACCGAGAGCAACGCACGCTGGGTGCAGGACTTCCGCCTCAAGGCCTACGCCAGCCCCGCCAAGCTTGAATCCATTGACGGTAGGCTCAGGACCCACTCCCTGGGGGGGGGTGCCTGGGACCTTGGAAGGTCAAGGGTTCCAGATACGTTTTGGGTCTTAGTGACTCCCCAGCTCGCCCCCTGAAGCCCTGTGACCATCTAGGGCAGCCTCCAGACCCACGTCCTGGGGGAGGAGAGCTGGTAGGCGTGTGGAGACGGGAAAGTCAGGGTGGCCCTTGGGAGCTGTAGCCGGTGGAGGAAAAGGGACAGGTGATGTCATCAGGCCAGCTGGTCCTGCAGGAGGCCTCACTTTAATTGACGTGTGGCCACCTGGCCTGTGGTCTCCTCCAGGTGCCCGCTACCATGCCCTCCTGATCCCCAGCTGTCCTGGGGCCCTGACCGACCTGGCCAGCAGTGGCTCCCTGGCCCGTATCCTGCAGCACTTCCGGTCAGAGAGAAGTAGGTGACGCTGGGGCGCGGGGTAGGGGTCGGATGTGCAGCTCGCAAGAAGTGGGTCTCCCACCAGCAGGAGAGGTGGGAAGACGCCCAGGTCGGGGTTTCTGGGCCTCTGGTCAGTGGCCGTTGCAGTGGCTGTGGGTGGGAGGTAGTGACACGTACTTGTCCTCTTTTGGTGACTGGGTGGGCTCCCGCGGGTGGGTGGCCGTGCCCTCGTGGGCCCCTCATGAGCAAGGCAGGATACCAGCCTGGTTCCTTCCGGAAAAGCCTGGCATCCAGGGCTGGGCCTGGGGCTCGAGGCCGGCAGGGGTGTGGGCAGGAAGTCCATGGCAACCTGGCGGCTGCCCCGGCTCACTGTTGGCTGTGATCAGTGTGTCCACTGGCTGGGTGGACAGGCCAGCACTCTCTACAGCTCCTTTTGTATACAGCTTCCTGGGAGCCAGGCCGCTGTCCTCAGCGTGGCCTGGACAGGCAGTGATTGTTTGTGGCCACCTCAGCCGTGGGAATGCACCCGGCCTTTCAGGTGGAGCCAGGGTGACCCCACTGCAGGGTACGGGCACTGCCCGAGGCTTACCTCCCACCCGCGCAGGGCATCCTCTCTAGCCGGGAGGGGCCTTTCCCACAGCGCCTGCCACTGCGCGGGGCAGCCGGGCTCTGTGCCCTGGGGTTGCCAGGCAGTGTCCTGGGTTTGGTGAACAGACCTGGGAGGAGGGGCCCGGGCAGGCGGCACAGGCCTGGGGGAGCCACAAGCAGTGGCATCGGGAAGCGGGCGGCCGGGGCCCCAGAGTGCCATGTGCTGCTTCCAGAGCCCATCTGTGCCGTCGGCCACGGTGTCGCCGCTCTGTGCTGTGCCACCAACGAGGACAGATCCTGGGTGTTCCACGGCTACAGCCTGACAGGGGTGAGTGCCTGGAGGACAGAGCCCTCCCGTGCTCCCCCCCCCCCCGCCCCCCCCCCCCCGTGCCCCCCCCCGTCCTCCCCGTGACAGCCAGGAACGAGGACGGAGACTCCAGAACGCCTCGCCCCTAGTCTTGGCCTGGGGCCTGCTGGAAGCTCAGGCCCCCTCACCAGAGGACGTGGGGAGGGAGGTGCAGCAGACCTGCACTTGCGTCCAGAGGGGCTGAGAGCCTCGCTGTCCTCGGAGACGGCCTGTGCCCATCTGAGGCCCAGAAGCTATGAAGTGGGCTCTGTGGACTCTGGGCGCTGGGCCGTGGGAGCAGCACAGGCCCTGGGGCAGGGAGAGGAGGCTGCTGTGCAGACGCGGGTTTCACTGGAGGTGAAATGGCCCTGGCCCCAGCTGTCACTTTCCCTCTTAGGGGGCCCTCCTCAGTGGGTGCTCAGTGCTGCCCTCTGAGGGGCAGCACCACCCCAGTCTCAGGTTACAGGTGGGCGTGACCCCTCACATGAGTGGTTAGGGTCACGTCTGCCCAGGGTGACTGCTCAGCCGTCTGCCCACCACGGGGCTCTCCCTCGAAGCCCTTGTCATTCCAGTCACCTGTGTGCTCCAATGCTAGGGAGCTGGGCCCTCCTCCTGTAGTGGCCTTGTCGCTCCCAGGGACACCCCACGGGAAGATGGCTGGCCTTGGTCGTCTCCCCGGCCCCCAGCCTCAGCAGCCGTCCCTGTCATGAGCAGTGACATCCCCAGTCCCACTTGGTTGGGTGAGGCTCCCTGCCCTGGTTTGACCTTCCTGTCCCCTGGAGTGGGCCTGGGCCTGGGCCTGGCTCAGGAGCCCCAACCCCCCTCCCGCAGCCCTCAGTGTGTGAGCTCGTCAGGGCCCCCGGCTTCGCCCGCCTACCGCTGGTGGTGGAGGACTTTGTGAAGGATTCTGGCGCCAGCTTCACTGGTGAGCCCTGAGAGCGCCCTCTGCGCTTACAGAAGTGGGGGGGCTTGCCTGCTTCAGCTTGGGGGAGGAGCCTGCTGGGCCCTGGGTTCTGTAGACCCCTGTGACACTGACTTAGACCCAGACAGGCTGACCTGCTGACCCTGGGGGCCCGCCTGAGCTCGGGCTTCCCGGTGGGTGGGGTGGACATTGCCTGAGGCTGGTGCCCTTGGTCCTCTGCAGCAAGCGAGCCTGACGCCGTGCACATCGTGCTGGACCGCCACCTGGTCACAGGCCAGAATGCCAACTCCACTGTCCCGGCCGTGCAGAACCTGCTCTTCCTCTGTGGCAGCCGGTGAGGGTACCAGGGTGGGTACATTCCTGCCACATCTGCAGAGCTGCACCAGGTGCGGGTGCCAAGCCTTGACCACACGTCTGTCCTGCAGGAAATGAACCTGCTGGGTAGATGCACCCCCTGAGACAGCCCACGTGTCTCCAGAGGCAGGCAGCCCGGTCTCGGGCCTCCGGGGACCCCGCCTCGTCCCTCCTGACAAGGAACATGGATGCGGCCCCAGATGGCCGCCCGGTCTCGCCTTAATGGGACTGTTGGAGGCCTCCTGGAATCAGCTCTGAGGGGGTGTCAGTCTCCTGGAGGCCCCAACCCCCCAGCCCCCTGCATGTTCTCCAGTAGGAGGCAGAGAAAAGACCCCAGATGCCCAGAAGGCTGTGGTAGCTGCCAGGTGGTCCTCGGGAATGCCAAGCCGGGTGTTCCAGGGAGGACTGGTTGCCAAGTACGGTCACTGTTGACAGAGTCAGCTCCGGGGTCCTCTGTGGGGGCTGGCCCTGTTGTGGCCGCGGGTGGGGGCCTTGAGGGGAGGGAGCCGGCGAGAGGTGGCCCAGAACTTCCTCTGGCCACAGATGAAAGAATTTTTTTGGGAGCAGCAGCCTCCTGCCCCGAGACTGACCGGAAATGGCAGCACTTGCCTGTTGGAGAAATTTTCTGGCCCGTCTTTTAAAATGTGAGCACCGTGGTGAAGCCCCGTCCTGTCTGAGCATTGAGACTTCCTTAGCTGAGACCATGACACCGTGCAGTTCTCACAGAGGAAAGTGCTGTTCCCGGTGGCCCTGCACAGAGCGGCCTTGGGTGCAGCTGCTGTCAAGAGCAGACAGTGTTCCGGACTGCTGGGCACCTGGCCTGGGCCGTGTGCCTCCAGCGCGCTGCCCGCTGGCCCCAGCGCAGGGCCTCCAGGAGCAGCTTAGACCCTCTTCCCCAGAGTTCTGCAGTTTGAGCCTTCCTCCAGCCCACCTTCTCCTCAGCCACAGTCACCCCCAAGCACCAGGGTGGCTCCTGGTGCCAGCGACCTGCCAGGAGGCCCCTTGTGATTATAAACCCATTAAGTAGGGCGGGTGTGGTGATGGGCGCCTGTCATCCCAGCCACCTGGGAGGCTGAGACACGAGAATTGCTTGAACCTGGGAGGCGGAGGTTGCCGTGAGCCGAGATCATGCCATTGTACTCCAGCCTGGGCAACAAGAGCAAAACTAATCTCAAAAATAAATAATAAAACCGTTAATAAGGAGAATTCAGAGAAAAGTGGAAGGAGGCGCTGCAGCCACGTCCCTGCCCTGAGGCTGCGTTTCTCCAGCGCCTCCGGGATTACTTGGGATGCCCACGTGGCACTGGCCGCAGGGCTCTGTCCGGGGTCCGCCCTAACCCCCGTGTGGTGATGGACATCTCTGGACAAGTATTTATTTTTATTTTTAAAATTTTTTCTTGAGACGGAGTTTCCCTCTTGTTGCCCAGGTGGCGTGCAGTGGCGCAATCTCGGCTCACCGCAACCTCCACCTCCCAGGTTCAAGCAAGTGTGCCTCAGCCTCTGGAGTAGCTGGGATTACAGGCGTGTGCCACCATGCCCAGCTAATTTTTGTATTTTTTATTATTTTTTGAGACAGAGTCTTCCTCTGTTGCCCAGTTGAGAGTGCCTCAGCCTTGGCTGCCCGCGTAGCTGGGATTACAGGCCCAGCTAATTTTTCTCTAATTTTTAGTAGAGATCGGGTTTCACCATGTTGGCCAGGCTGGTCTTTAACTCTTAACCTCAAGTGATATTCCTGCCTCGGCCTCCCAAAGTGCTGGGACTACAGGGGCCTGCCATCATGCCCGGCCTCATGTTTGTATTTTTAGTAGACGGGGTGTCACCTTGTTGACCAGGCTGGTCTTGAACTCCTGACCTCAGGTGATCACGTGCCTCGGCCTCCAGAGTGCTGGGATTACAGGCGTGAGCCACCGCGCCCGGCCAGCAAGTACTTTTTTAAAGAAAACTTAAAGGGCGGGTGTGGTGGCTCACGCCTGTAATCCCCGCACTTTGGAGGGCCGAGGTGCGTGGATCATGGCAGGAGATCGAGACCATCCAGGCCAACATGATGAAACCTCGTCTCTACTAAAAAAGTTAGCTGGGTGTGGTGGCGGGCACCTGTAACCCCACCTGCTCGGGAGGCTGAGGCAGAATTGCTTGAACCCCGGAGGCGGAGGTTGCAGTGAGCCGAGATCGCGCCGTTGCACTCCAGCCTGGCGACAGAGCAAGACTGCGTCTCAGAAAAAGGAAGTTCAAGATCCTGCTTAATGTCTTAGTCCATTTGGGCTCCTGTATGAAAAGACTAAACCTACTGGCTTGTAAACAACAAATCGGGTTCAGGTTTGGAAGCTGGAAGCCCAAGATGAAAGAGCCTCTTTTGTGAGGGTGAGGCTCTGCCCTGTGACCCGATGACCTCCCACATGCCCCACCTGCTGCCATCCCCTGGCAGGTGAGGACTGAAGCGGGTGGGTTTTGCGGGGGACGTCTTCAGGCCACAGCAGGTAGATGAAGAGCGGTGAGCCATGCTGAGCCCCTCTGGTCAGCCAGATCTGACTGAGCCCAGCACTGAAGGTCAAGGCAGTTGTGGCTTTGGGGATGTGAAGTAGGTTGTCATGAGGGGCCCCACAGACCTGTCCCCAGGTGAGCCGCCCACGGGCCTCTTCATCATACCTCAGCTGCATGCCAGGCCTTTGGCGTGGAGAGCCTCCCTGCTGTGCCCAGTTCTCTCTGCCAGGGCAGGGCTTGGGGCAGCACCGGGCTGGGGCAGAGGAGGAAAGCAAGGGGACAGAGCCTCCGGAAGAGCAGCGGAGGTTGGGTGAGGATGTCGCCACATACCCAGTGTGTGTTCACTTGCCCAGAGAAATAAACCATGCAGCTCCATACACATGGTACCCGGGTGCATGTGGCAGAGCTGCTCGTGATAACGGATGAGTTGTTTTCACGCAGTGGGTAATCAACATGTCTGATATTAATAAGTATTAATTATATTATAATTATTGGTATCTGTTAGTAAGGCTTATGTAGCCATGTGCTGGATTGTTTGGCTACAGCAAGGAATGAAGCTATTTTTAACGTGGTCTTGCTGTGTTGCCCTGGCCGGACTGCAGTGACTTCAGTTACTGCTCTCGGCGGCCTTGAACCGGCCTCAAGTGATCTCCCATCTCAGCCTCCCCAGTAGATGATGTGGGGACACACGCCGTGGCCAGCTAGGGGTGACGCTCTTTTTTTTTTTTTTTTTTTTTTTTTTTTT